TGAATCAAAGCTATTAGTTTAGCTTTTTGAGCAGAGGTTCCTTTGGGCAGGGCTTTTGCCCGTAAAACATTTTTCTGAGTGACTGCTGCCACCCCTGCATACCTGATTTTATTTCTGATTTAACTGCTCCCATCTGTGTACATCACCAAGTCAGGATTTTTCCATGGTAGGTCAGTGAGATCAGGTCGGCTTCCCTGGACATGCTGCAGCAAGCCAGAACAATTGTGATGCACAGTCGTCTCAGACTCAGTCTCAGGGAGCAGGGATACAGGGTTTAAGGCACTGGTCACTGCATATGTTAGGTGGGGCACATCTAGCAGGAGAGACTGGTAATGAGTTAGTCTTGCATTTGTGAGCCAGCGATCAGGTGGGGCCCTCAATACCCCTTTAATAGTGTGGGAGGTAGTCACAATTAATTGTCCCAAGGTAAGCTTGTCAGCGTCTTTAACCAGGACTGCAGTGGCTGCTATGGTCTTTAAACAGGCTGGCTATCCAGCTGCTACTGAGTCTAATTTTTTTGAGAGGTAGGCCATCAGTCTCTTCCAGGGGCCCAAAGTCTGAGCAAGTACGCCCTTTGCTACACCAAGCCGTTCATCTACATAAAGGTAGAAGGGCCTTGAGATATCAGGCAGGGCTAGGGCTAGTGCAGAAGTGAGGGCCTGTTTTAGGTTGTCAAAGGCCTGTTGCTGTTCTTTTTCCCAAGAAAATGTTGAGGGTCCCCCTCTTATTACCTCATATAGAGGCTTGGCCAGCTCTGCAAAACCAGGTATCCATAGGCGACAATACCCAGCTGACCCCAGGCATTCTCTGACTTGCCTCTGACTCTGAGGAACAGGGATATCCAGGACAGCCATTTTCCTTGCAAAGGAGAGCCTGCGCATACCCCCTTTTAATTGAAACCCCAGATATTGTACCTTCTCTTGGCAGATCTGTACCTTTTTAGCTGACACCTTGTATCCCAGGCATTGAAGTTTCTTTAACAAGTCCATTGTAGCCTCTGAGCAAGAGGAATGGTCTGGGGTAGTGAGGAGCAAATCATCTACATATTGTAGAAGGGAAACCTGGGGATGGGCAGTTCGAAACCCTCAGAGGTCTTCATGTAGGGCCTCATCAAAGATGGTGGGAGAGTTTTTAAATCCTTGTGGAAGGCTTGTCCATGTCAGTTGGCCACTAAACCCTTCTTCAGGATCTTGCCATTTAAAGGCAAAGATAAGTTGACTCCCCTTGTCCAGGGGGATGCTGAAAAAGGCATCTTTTAAATCCAGGACAGTATAATGTAGGATTTGGTAGGGCTATTTTAAGCAATTTAGAGAGGCTCTTACCTTTAAAACCATCCAGCTTCTGTAACTTTTTGCAAATATTAGGTGCTGACTGAGTCACAAAGTCTATATTTATGGCTCATTGGTTCTCGGATGCCTCAGAGTCAATAGGAGTGTAGGCTCTATAAGCTTTCATAAGCCTTTTTAGAAACTGTGCTGGAGCCTCTGTCGGTCCCTGCAAAACCTGACTGACTTTTGACAAATATGTGGGCTTTTTGGCAGCAGCCTGGAGACCCCCCATAAGAATCTGGCGATAGAGTTTGAGTGCCTCCCTACCTTCAGGGGTGTTGGGGGTCCCATCTGGGGCAGCATTGAGGAAAAGCCTCCTCAGTCTCTGCTGGATCCTCAGTGAATCAGCAGTTCTCAGACGGCACCCTTTTCCGGGCCTCTTGAGAGGATCCGTATATGTTCCTCAGTGGTAAAGAGAATGAGGAGGAGCTGTTGGACATCATCCCATGTGGGTTAATGGGTAAGGAAAATAGTCTTCAACAATCCAATTAAAACCTGTGATTTTTCAGAGAAGGGGGGTATTTGTAATTTTCAGTTATAAAGGTCACTAGTTGATAAGGGAGTGTAAACAAGAAAACTATGGCCAGAGGCATCTGGTGGGGCCATAGCATGGAGGGGAAGGACAGCAGGGGTCGTCTCAGGTCTATAGGGCTGTCCTGAATGTGAGTGTGGAAAAGTAAGCCATAACATAGGGAACCTGATCAGGATGTCCTGGGCTTCCAAAAATCACGGCCTGAAAGAGAAAAAAGCTTGTTAATCTCAAAAGAACCAGTAGAGGGCCATCCTACATAAAAGACGCCCATTTAAGAGAACAGAGGGTCTGGAATTTTCCTAAATAAACAGTATCTCCAGAGATTGCAGCTGCTTTTTGAAAATCCTTAAAAATGAGAAAGAATTAGGTCAAGGGGAGTTTCTTCAGATGATGGATTCTGACCCATGATGGAAAGAAAGAGGATTAATCCAAAACAAAGACCAATAAGAACTAAACAAACAGGACCAGGACGACACAGAACAAAAGCGTGGTACATTGGGGGAATCGCTGCGTGTTCAAAGGTCGCTGCAGGAGTGACTAGGGTCAATGCCATATGCCCGGAGGGCACAGACAGTCAACCTACCAGATGGAGGGTTGGGGCGTCCTCTGGCTCGGAGAGCAATACTGCGACCAGTTTCTCTCCTTTGAGCCCCCAGAAGTCCGGACACTCAGAACAGAAACCAAAACAGACTCACTGCGGGAGGAACCAGAACTGAATTTTCCAGGCGCCAGACAGAGATCTGGAAAAGATAGGAAAATGAACCAAGGGTTTTCAGGGAATCCCGGACGAGCCCCCAAAATGTTATGGGTCCGTAAAATTCCCTACATTGACCACTCGGACACTGAGTCTCAGTAAAAGGAGCGCTTTACTGAGGCCAACCGGATGGGGATGCAGACAGTCTCGGGAGCTGCCCTGTGATGCCAAACAGTGAAATGGCAGGGCTTTTAAGCAGAAAAACCTCAAAGCCGGGGTTTTCATAGAAACTATACACAGAATAGTCAAGAAAGGAACAATCTAGGGCTAATTTCCAGAGACTTTACCTATACAGTTATTGGCTGTCTCACCTGGGGCAGAACGTCCTCTCTCTTTGCCCCAGGTTATTTCCATAGAGACCATACACAGATGTACCAAGTATACTGTCATTGGCTAGCTCAGAATGTTTTTTCTTTTCTGCCCCAGACCATTCCCATTGAAATTGTAAACAGAAACCAGGAAAGGGTTTAAACAATGAAGGGGATTTTCAGCGTCAGGTGGAAGGCAGCCTTTTTCTTAGAGGATAGGGAGGGGGATCTGAGAGGCATTTTCCATCAGTCTTATGTAGGTAACTACAGCCGCTCGAGTTCATGTGTGCGACAGCCATGTCATGTCCAGAGGACAGCACTTTACACAGTCTTCCCCTTCCCCTGACTCTGACTTTCTTTTGGCCACTTCTTCCTTTATGTTTCGTGAATTATCTTTTTTTTTTTTAAAGCCAGTAATGATAGTACACACCTAAACTCCCAGCACTCAGGAGGCACAAGTTTAAGGGCAGGCTGGGCTACATAGTTAAGACTGTCTTTTGTTGTTGTTGTTGTTTGTGTGTGTTATACATATCTTTATACAATTTTATATGCATGTTAATGTTGGAAATGCATAAAGTGCTCGCCACTAATAAATGCACAAATCAATTTAAGATTAAATGCCTGCTTTGCAATTTGTACTCCGTCACAAGAATGTATAGTTTGTTAACATGTTAATAGACAAAAATTTAAGAAAAAGGAAACAGCTACATAGTGGGACCAAAAAAGTTGGGGGAGAGAGATGGCTCAGCGGTTAAAAGCATTGGCTGCTCTTACAGAGGACCAGGGTTTGGTTCCCAGCACCCATATGGAGGCTAACAACCATCTGTAACTCCAGTTCCAGGAGATCCAACACCCTTTTCTGCTTTCCACAGGCATTGCATACCTGGGTGCACTTACATACATCAGGCAAAATACTCATATATGTAAAATCAATAAAAAAATTTTTCTAAAGAGAAAGGAAACAAATGATTTCAGCCATAATGATTTCAGTTGTAAGACGTCTATCAAGGTGTTCAGCTGTAGTAGTCTATATATTTTTTAAAGTATTTTGTTATTTTTATTTTATGTGTATGAGTGTATTGCATGCATGTATGTGAGTGCACCCGTGTCATGCAATGCCGCGGAGGTCAGAAGAGGGCTTTGAATTTCCCTGGAACTGGAGTTAAGGATGGTTCCTAGCCGCCATGTGGGTGATGGGAATCGAACCCGGGTCCTCTGCAAGAGCAGTCAGTGCTCCTAAGCACTGAGCCATCTCTCCAGCCCCAGTAGTCTATATATTACTACCATTCAAGACTTCATGAAAAGGTGAGGGTGTGGTTCATGGGAGAACAGTTATCTAATATTTGCCTAAAAGAACAGGAGAATACAAAGAAAACAACATACCCTAGAACCAGTCCTCTTCCATTCCCCACTGTTTTGTGTGTGTTTTCATCTGAAAGTTCTCCTTGAAGGGTTTCTGAGTACACTGGTTCTCTATAGAGATCTGTGAACTTTCAGTTTATTCTTATCGGGGGTGTACTATAATATTTGGCTTAATTTGACAAAATCTCTGACTCCCTTTAATGCTTTTCATGTCAAGGTAGATTGTGTTTGATTTTTTTTTTTTTTTCTTGACAGGCATTAACAGACTTTAATGCTGTATTTAATAACATCTTTGATTATCTTATTAATAATCTCAGTCAGCCCTGCTGTCTTGACCCTGTAATTCTAGCTACTTGGAAGGCTGAGGCAAGAGGATCAAAAGTTCAAGGCCTGCCTGGGCAACTTAGTAAGATACTGTCTCAAAATAAAATTTTAGAAGAGAGCTGTGAATATAGCTCAGTAGTAGAGAGCTTGCCTAGTATGCAAGGGGCCCTAGGTTCAATCCCCAGCACTGCAAAACTGATAATACAATTTAATGACCATGGCAACAGCATTAGAAAACCTGAAAGTTGCTGAAACCACAGTGAGCATGGTGGGGGGCCTTTGTGGATTTTGCTGACAAAGGTGTGAGATGTTTGAAGACTTGGTCCATGAACAGTGTCTAATAGGAAGTACTATCTCTTTGTTTTTTCTATTTCTTCTGACTCTCCTTGCAGGAGGCACTTTTTATTGCTCGCTTTAGTCCTCCGAGTTGTGGTGTACAAGTGAACAAGCTATGGTATAAGCCTGTGGAGCAGTTCATCTTACCAGAGGTATGACATACAGAGAAGGCTCCTTCATCAGGTGGGCACAGGCCATGAGGAGCAGGCCCTTGTACTTGCTGTACCACAGTAGTTCTGCAGAGTGGAAAAAGTGGGTACCAACAATGCCTGCACTAAACTCTGCATTTATACCAACAGAGAACTTCATAAACCCTTAGGGTTCATAGCCACACTTTTGGAAAACACTGCATGTTGCCATGGTTTACTTGGAGTTCTACTGTCTATCTTAGTGACAAAAGGTAGTATTAGATATAGATTGGAAAGACTGAATAAGTCTAATAGTTTCCTTGGCAGAAAGAATAAGAGGGCTGGAGAGACGCTCAGCAGGTAAGAGCACTGGCTGCTTTCCCAGAGGACCCAGGTTTGAATCCCAGCACCCACATGGCAGCTAACAATCTGTAACTCCAGTTCCGGGGGATCCGATGCCCTCTTCTGGCTTACATGGACACTGCACAACACGGGTGCACTTACATATGTACAGGCATAATACCCATACATATAACATACAAATAAATAAAAAGTTAGGAAAAAGAATGGAAAGTAAGCCAGTGCAGACAGGATAATGGCAGAAATTGACCACATTTTCAAGTTAAATAAAACTTCTTTAAAGGTGGACAGTTGTGAATGATGTCTGAAAATCTGCCTGTCACCTCTGAGCTGCTCTAGGACAGTCTTAAGTTCTTGTATGCCAGAGACCACTTTGCCGCCATGTGCCCTCAGCACACTGAGGTTAAGCCCCACAGTGGTCGAGGGCTGTGACAGACACACGTGAACAGTGCCTTCCCTCTGCCTGTCCATAGAATCCGCTTCTGAGCTTTGTGCTTTGGAACTACAGTAGGAATCTGGGCCTGGACAGCTGTGTGGTTTGCTGGAGTATATGGAACATCAAAGCTGAGATAAAAAGTGGAAGCTAGGCCATTGACCAGCCTTCTCTACTAACCACTAGTCTCAGGGGTGCTGTTCCTGTTTGTGGAACAACAGAGCCACATATCTTTATAATACGCTGTGTTCCATTAAATACAATTGGTTAAAACTACATGTTAATTTTGTGTCCAAGCAAGCTCCTTTATTTTTTTTTAAGACAGAGTCTCCCTATAGCTCCAGTTGGTCTGGAATTCACTGTGTAGGCCAAGATGGCCTTGAACTCACAGAGATCTGCCTGCCTCTGCCTCCCAAGTGCTGGGACTAAAGACGTGTGCCACCACACCCCACCAGTCTCCTTATTTACCATATATGAACCTTTTATTTATTTATTTATTTTTTGGTCTTTTTGAGACAGGGTCTCCCTGTAGCCCCAGCTGTCCTGGAACTCACTATGTAGACCAGGCTGGCCTCGAACTCACAGAGATCCTCCTGCCTCTGCCTCCCAAGTTCTGGGACTAAAGGCGTGTGCCACCACGCCTGGCTAATTAATTTATTTTTAATGTATATAAGTGTATTGTTTGCATGTGTGTAAGTGTACCCCTGTCATGCAGTGCCCATGGAAGTCAGAAGAAGGCATTGGATTCCCCTGGAACTGGATAACTCCAGATGGTTGTTAGCTGCCATATGGGTGCTGGGAATCACACCCAGATCCTCTGCAAGAGCAGCCACTGCTCTTAACTGTCAAGCCATCTCTCCAGCCCCCATTTTAAAAAATCTTAAATGAAAGCAAAACACAAGAAAAAAATAGAAAAAATAACTAAGCTGAAGGTAACAAGACCACCAAAATCCTAATGAGTTAATAATGTCTAGCACTGACTTCAGTGCACAGAGTCAGCAGGGTCACACTGCTAGCCCTTTGTAGCTGGTGATCTTTAACACAGCAAGAACAGCCTTGGTGGTTTGCTGCTGCTGCTATTGTTTACAGGGGACTCCTCTTTTTCTTATTGAAGTTTTGCCTAATTTTTGTGTTTGTTTTGTGACAGGCTCTCCTTGTAGACCCAGACGGCCTGGAATTCACTACGTAGGTCAAGCTGACCCCATCTTACCTGCCTCTGCTTCCCAAGTGCTGGGATTAAAGGCATGCACCATATGCCCAGCACATCATGAACATATTTAAATTTTAAAATGCATTGTTATGTTTAATGGTTGCCTAGAATTCCATAGTATGGAAATACTGTCTTTAAACCCCATAGCTGGATATTGAAGTGAATTCATTGAACCTCTGTTTTATATACATAACGAGTTATTTTCTTAGGTTAAATTGTTAGACCAGCGAGTGTATACATTTTTAAGATACACTATTCCTTCCTAGAGGGCATTTTAGCAATTTCTATCAATCGAATTATGCACTAGCATTATATGAAAGTGTCTGTTTTCTGGTATCTTGTGTGTGTGTATGTATGTGAGAGAGAGAGATAGGGTCTCCCTGTAGCCACAGCTGGCCTGGAACTTACTACATAGACCAGGCTGGCCTCCATTTCACAGAGATAGACCTGGTCCTGCCTCTTCTGGGAGAAGTATCTGGTTTGTACATCATCTCATCCCCTCCACATGTGTCAGTCAGTAGAGTAGCATGTCAGCAGTGCAGCTCAGCTCATAAGACAGCACATGTAACATTTTCATTGTGCAGCCCCTGAAACATAAATCTCAGCAAGTGGCCCAAGTTTTAAGTAAAGACTGCTGTGTGTTTCTCTAAAAATAATTATTTCTCTAATTTCATATTTTTCTTAATGATACAGTTGAAACCTAAAGCCAAATCCCATAGAAAGCAGATTTGTCGGGGCTGGAGAGATGGCTCAGTGGTTAAGAGCACTGACTATTCTTGCAGAAGACCAGGGTTCGAATCCCAGCACCCACGTGGCAGCTAACAACTGTCCTAACTCCAGTTCCAGGGGATCCAACAGTCTGTTCTGACCTCCACAGGCATTGCACGACACAGGTGCACTTACCTACATGCAGGCAATACACACACATAAAATAAAAAATAATAAATATTAAAAAGAAAGAAAGCAGACTTGTCATTCAGGCAAATCACTGAATGCACTGCTGTTGGTATTCTGAACACTTTTTATGGTAGTTCAGTGTCTTGAGTCATTTCTCCAGGCCACAAAAGGTACATCTTTTAGCTGCTGTGTTGGTGTGGATGAGAAATTTAAAGTACTACACAGAAGAATGAACATGTGGGGTGAGTTGTGATAGCTTGTAGTATGTTGTATAAGATAACCCGTGATACCTCATTTATCCAGCCTATAACCAGGATTTTCCCCCGGTGGTTTTACAATCCTTGCAGAGTTGCCATAAGTAGTTTATTTCATGACACCTGATGTCGGAGAGCAGAAATGTGTTGAGAAGGGGCTAGAGATGGAACTATCCAGCCGTGACCCGGCTCAGGAGAGGGGAGAACACAGCCCATTTCTGCCCTGGTGCAGCAAGCTGCCTGGGGTGCCGTGCAGCTTCACTGGAAGGCAAGGACTTTGGGCCAGTGGATTTCTCTGGTGATGAACATTGTTGACATTGTATCATGGCCCAGTTACACACAAAAAGCTGGGTGCCAGGAACGAACTGCTGGCAAAGAGCAAGCCAGATGAAGCATCCGTTGCATGACTAGACCAGGGAATGCTTGTTTGATCATCCTTTTCTAGATTGGTAGCTTCAAAGTGAGATTTTCCATTTGGTCGTTATAAATGCCTTTTACTTTCAGTGTGTTCATTATCTCCTTATGTTTTGCTACCTTCTAGTCACTAGGACCTCATTCTTAGTCACTGGCTTTGTTTTACTCGGTCCATCCATTATGCTCAAGGCTGATAATCTGTCATCACGGCCAGATTTCCCAAGGAGCTCCACGCTGGCTGTCCCCTGGACAGTCAAGTAGTGTCATCTTTGTCCCACCTGTTCTCCTCTCCTGTGGTTTCAGTCTTCGGTCTGGTGGCTCCCTTTCCCTAAATTACAAATTACCAAAACCAGAACCAATGGATTTATCCTCAGTTCTCATACCCAAGCACTCACTAAGCCCTATCCTTTCTTTATTCTAAAATATTTGTTAAACAGCCGGGCGTGGTGGTGCATGCCTTTAATCCCAGCACTCAGGAGGCAGAGACAGGTGGATCTCTGTGAGTCCAAGGCCAGCCTGGTCTACATAGTGAGTTACAGGACAGCTGGGGCTACAGGGGGACCCTGTCTCAAAAAGACCAAAAAAAAAAAAAAGTTAGAAAATCTGCATTTTATTACCATTAAATTTTTAGAAAGAAGTAAATAAAGCATACCAAGGGCAAGGAGTTGTTGCCAGGAGATAGGCATATGATTAACCCAGGACAGGACAGGACAGCCTTACCTGGTCACGGTCTACTAGCTTACAGGTGTGACCTACCAGTGTATATAGAGGTGTTGAGATTCCCAATAATGATACGGTGTAAGGTCAGAAAGTGCCTCTTCCAGTGTCACTTTATTCATTCTTCATAATGTTGGTGCATTAGAGTGACTTGAGTGACCTTGACCCCTGTCTAGGAACCTTCTCCTGGTATGTCAAGGTCCCTAAAACCATAAATCAGAGGGGTCCATTACCTGGGCAGCGAACATGATCACAGCAGCAGAAAGTAAGGATTTTAGTGCTGCTTCGTCCTGTCTGGCTGTCTCAGGGATGTTTATACTGGAATTGTTCTCCCCTAAACATTGCTGCACTGCCAAGATTCCGCTCAGCTTTCATATGCTGGCCAGCGGCATGAGGGTATCTCATTCATTACTTACAGTTCATTCTTGCAGCTCTTCCTCTTCTACAGAAGACAGATTAGTTCAGTGTGCAAGTAGCGCCCTTTGGAGCCTTTGTGCCATCCACATGCTGCCTTGGATAAAGACTTTCCCTCCCCTGGACTGCACAGCAACCTGATCACCTCTCCCTGCCAGCCTTTGCCACTCTTAAGCTTCAGTCTACCCATTGCTAAGCAAGGGCCAGGCTTCATGTCCTCATGTATAAAGCTGCTTCCAACCAGCCTTGTACTTCTCCTAGCCCTGCTTCAGTAGCTATATGAAACCCTCAGCATGTTTCTGAATGTGCCGGGCTGTAGCCTCCTACTTTTCTGACCCAAACTCCTTCAGAACTTCTTAGCTCTTGTGGTTACTTAATGTTCTTTCTGAGCACCTGACTCCTGAAAAGTGACTTTTCTTCATTAGTGAGCCCATTGTGGCATGCTAAGATTTTTTGAAGGTAATGGTTCTGTTTTATCTCTAATCTTCAGTATATAGCCCACAGCTTGGAAAACATTAGATACTCAAATGTTTAAATATGTCAGATGTAAAATTCTACCACATTAATGTGAACCTTTTAACTTTTTTCCTCCATTTTATACTAGAGAGAATACAGTGTATTTGGACTCTCAGACTTCACTAATGACTTTATAAATCAGTAAAAATTACTTTTGGCTGGGTGTGGTGGTGCACACCTTTAATCCCAGAACTCAGGAGGCAGAGGCAGGTGGAGCTCTGTGAGTTAAAGGCCAGCCTGGCTACATAGTGAGTTCCAGGTTAGCTGGGGCTACAGGGGGACCCTGTCTCAAAAAGACCAAAATAAAAAAAGTTTTTAAGGGGCTGGAGAGATGGCTCAGCAGTTATGAGCACCTCTTGCAGAGGACCTGGGTTCATTTCCCCACATAGCAGCTAACAACCATCCGTAACTTCAGATCCAGGGGATCCAACACCCTCTTCTTACCTCTGTGGGCACTGCATGACACAGGTTCACTTACATACATTCAGGCAGTACACTCAAACACAAAATTTTTTAAAATATACTAGATTTTTTTTTATTTTAAAAATTACTTTTCAAAAACAGTTTGGCAGTATGTACCCAAATATACATACACACCTTCCCAGTAATTTAACCTCTTGGAATTTATTTTAAATAAATTATTTGGAAAAAACAGACTTTTGCACCAAACCATTCCTACATTATGGAAGCTGTTTGGTATTGACCAAGTTTCTTTTTTTAAAAAAAATTTTAGATCATTTTTACTATTCCAAAGAGAGGCATTTTTTAACACATTTTTTCAAGAAATAACTTGAAGTAGATTACATAAAAATATATATACAATGAAGTTTAAGGTGGGGAAAACTAGGAACAAGAAATGAAAGACCAAAGGATTTGCCAACATGGGGTCAACTTTGATGGAATAATGAAAGTTTCTATTAGTTCTGTCCCTTGGTTTTTTTTGGGGGGCGGGGGGAATCCTAACGAGTTTATTAGACTTGCTAATACAGCATAGGGTGGGGGTTTATTTACAGAAGAGTGGATGCCCCTCCCCATTTATGGCTGTGCTGGAAAGCCCACACTCAAATATAGATCCTGTGACATCCCAACAGCCCCACAAAATGGCAAGAGAGGTGGCTCATGGTGTTCTTGGCTTACATATCCTTAGCTCCTCCCCCACATGCAGCTAAGGTCGACTGATTGGGTGGGAGGGATAACTGACTCCCCCTCAACTCCTTGATGAGTGTGGGAAGGAGGTGCGACCATAGCTTGCCAGCATGGTGGTTGGAGGACACTTCAGGTAACACTCCACCCTGTACATTCTCTCTGCCAACTACTTCTGCAAAAGTCCCTGAGCCTTGGAGGGGGTGATAGGTGTGGAATGATCTTCCTCCCATTGTGAACTTTTGGGTCTCTGAATCATGTTTTCCATGGGCTCTTGGCCCATTTCAGTGTGATTCCATCTACTATAAAAACACAAACAGCAAGAAGCAAGAACATTAAACAGTGGCTACTATAATAACCTCTGGGCATAAACACAAATGCTTGGATGGTATTTTAGCAGGTGCATCACAACCATCTAACAAAATAATTGCAGTGGTTTCCCCTCTTGGGCCTATATCCTCCCCTGCCACAGGAGGTTGGCCTGGTCTACAGTACCAAATGTGTGTTCCACCCCTAGGAGTGGGCACTATATCCAATCGAAAATTTGCTGGTTGTACATACACTAGAGGCATCACTGTTGCACCAGCTGGAACATCCTGTTTGGCATGTTGATAGTGTAGCACTTGGGGTCCATCATTGAGCAGAATTATAGGGGACAGTTCTCCCCAGCCATCTGCATGTCACCTTCTGGCACCACAAACACCACCCATCCAGTGGCAGGGAGTTTCCAGCTTAGTCCAAGCCTGATTTCTCCCTCTCATCACATCATGTGATGTCTTAAGCAATAGCCATCCACTTCCAGTGTACAACCAACATTATTGACAATGGCCTTTATTGTTTTGGGGACCTCTAGGGCCCCTCTGGCCAACAGTTCCTAGCGAGGCAACCCACCTGTTGTACTGGGAATTTTCATTTAACAACCAGCAGTGCTTCTGGTAGGGCTTTCTTCCATCCCCGTAGGGTTCCTTCTGTGCTTAAGGCTTTTTTTTTTTTTTTCCCCTCAACCAAGTTTCTTGACGGTAGGAAACCAGTTGAGTAAATCAAGTGTTCACTTGATGGTGTGTTCTACACACGAGAAGTAATGGCTCTAGCAGCTGCGGTGCATCAGGAACTACTTCTGATACAGCAGGGACAGCATCTGCAGAGTCAACTGTGAGGTCAGGTGTGGTGGTGCATGCCTTAATCCAGCTCTCAAGAGGTAGAAGCAGGCAAGTATCTGTGAGATTAAGGCCAGCCTAATCTATACATTGAGTTCCAGGGCAGGTAGGGTTACAGAGAGACCCTGTCACAAAAAAAACAAAAAGTAACTGTGAGCTCTGTGTGACTTTTTAGATGCGCCCAGAAGAAACAAGGATGTCCTCCAGAATGTTGATGATTATAGATAGGGTTGTGGCTTAAAAATTTTAGTGGATGTGTTTTTAAGGGGGAAAATGACATTTTTTTTAAAGTTTTACCTAAACACTGACCCACTATTCATCTTTTCCACAAAAGAGCTTTGAAGGTACAATTGTGTGGGAAAGCCAAGACCTCCATGGCCTCGTGTCTAGAAATCTCCACAGAGTGACAGTGAATGACGGAGGGGGAGTTCTCAGAGTCACCACAGTAAGCCATCCTTTGTTTGCTTAGATTGGTTAATGTTCTAGTTTGTTTTCTGTTCCTGTGATAAACAACATGGCCAAAGCCAACTTGAGGGGTGGGGGTATTTCAGCTTAGAGTTTAGTACTTCATGGAGGGAAGCCAGGGCAGGAACTCCAGCAGGAACCTGGAGGCAGAAGCTGAAGCAGAGACCGTGGAGGAACGCTGCTCAGTGGCTTGCTCCCCTGGCCTGTGCTGCCCAGCCTGCTTGCTTGCTTGGTTTGTTTGTTTGGGGTTCTTTTTGGTCTTTTTGAGAAAGGGTCTCCCTTTAGCCCCAGCTGTCCTGGAACTTACTGTGTAGACCAGGCTGGCCTTGAGCTCACAGAGATCCTCCCGCCTCTGCCTCCCAAGTGCTGAGGTTAAAGGCATGTGCCACCAGACCCAGCTTAAACTCATACATTTAGTGATGTACTGCTTATTCAGAAAGCATTTATTGCACACCCACTGAAAGGCAGGTGCAGTCAACCTGTTGTAGGTACACAGTGGAACTTGCAGAACAGCCATGCACATACCTACAAATAAATGTAATAAAAATTTAATTTTAAAAAAAGATGTTAAATAAATGGACACACAAAACCTTATTTTCTTTTTTTTTAATATTGCATTATTTTTATTTTATATGTGTATGCATGTATTGCCTGCATGTAGGTAAGTGCACCCGTGTTGTGCAATGCCCACAGAGGACAGAAGAGGCTGTAGGATCCCCTGGAACTGGAGTTAAAGACAGTTGTTAGCTGCCATGTGGGTACTGGAATTCGAACCTGGGTCTTCTGCAAGAACAGTCATTGTTCTTAACCACTGAGCCATCTCTTCAGCCCTCACAAAGCCTTATTTTCAAGACAAGGGCGTTTATAACTAGGGTATGCCAAAAGTCTTTAATTTTTGAGTTTATTTTACTAAAGGAATTAAGTTTCCTTCTGAGTTGAGGACTAAGTTCAAAAACAAATGATCTGCTTTGGGAGTAAAATAGTTGTAGAGTCAGAGAAGCTTAAATATTCAGCTAACCAAAGGAGAAAGGGAGGCACATAGCAGCCTGTTTAAAGAAACTCCCTGAGCAGATGGTGTTCTCACCACATCTGCTCCTGCCAGCATGTGATGTCAGAACATTTTAAAGCTAGGCTGTGATCTTTGAGAAAGAAGGCAATAAACAAGGAGTCATTAACTGTCAGTTTGACACAGCCCAGAGTCACTGAGAAGGGCATCTTATTGTATTTCCCAGATCCGATTGGCTTGTGGGCATGTTTGTGGGGAATTGTCTTGTTTGCTGATGGACGTAGGAAGGCCCAGCCCACTGTGGGCAGCACCACTCCCAGGCAGACTGTGCTGGACTATATAAGCTAGCTGAGTGTGGGTCTGAGCAGGCCAGCAAGCAGCATCCCACCGTGGTTTCTGCTGTACCTCTTCAGTTGTGAGTGAGTCCCCTGGCCTCCCTGAAGTTGCTTTTGGTCAGAGTGTTTTGTCACAGCAGCCTAGAATACAAGGAGTACCAGAGTATAGTCAGTTTTAAACAAGCCAAAACAAACACAACATACTGCAGTTTTTAGAGCATACCTGGGGGCTGGAGAGATGGCTCAGTGGGAAAGAGCATTGGCTCCTCTTGCAGAGGACCTGGGTTCAAATCTAAGCACCTACATGGCAGCTAAAAACTGTTCATATGCCCTCTTCTGACCTCCTCAGGCATTATATGACAGAGGTGCACTTACATGCAGGCAATACTCTCATAGGCAGAAAATAAAAATAATTTTTTTTAATTATTTTTTTCTTTTTTGGTCTTTTTGAGATAGGGTCTCCCTGTAGCTCCAGCTGGCCTTGTACTCACAGAGATTCGCCTGCCTCTGCCTCCCAAGTGCTGGGACTAAAGGTGTGCACCACCATGCCTGGCTAATAAAATATTTTTAAGAAGAGTATACCACAGTTATAAAACAACAAAAATCCATAGCATTTGGTTTTAATTCCCTCAATAGTCAGTTACAAATCATATTTGATATTAAATAATATTGCCCACAATGACCTCAGAATGCTCTCTAGTGGCCTTAAAACAGTGCTGTGTAGAGTAGTAATTCTCTGCTGATACGATCTGTCCTGGAACTCACTATGTAGACCAGGCTGGCACAGTATCCTTTTTAACTAGAGGAGTCCACACAAATACCATGAAAATGCTGACTAGTCGCTGTTGACAGTTTGTTCTAGCTCCAGCAGCTAAGGGACAGCTTTGGAAGACAGTTAGGGTGGTGCACATATAGATGGGAACAGTTCAGTGCATGGGGTAACTTGTGAGGTGAAGAGGTAACTGATGAAAGAGCTTCTCATCCTAAGAGGCAGAAGAACTGTTGTTGATGGTGACAGTAAGTCCTCGGTACCTTCAACATCAGTAGGAAATAAGTCTCCATCTGAATCTTTTGGGAACAGACTGTTGATTTAGAGGAGCTTTTCCCTGTATAGTCCCTTCATTTTCAGGTCAAGATCTTGTCAAATTCATAAGAATTTTCAGTCAAAGAAATCCCAAATATGGTGGTGATTATTTTTTGAAGTGGTGGGGCTGAATATAAAATAGTTGGTTTAAGCTGGGCATGGTGGTGCACACATTTAGCCTTTAGTCCCAGCACTCAGGAGGCAGAGACAGGCATATCTCTGTGAGTTCAAGGCCAGCCTGGTCTACATAGTGAGTTCTAGGCCAGCTGGGGCTACAGGAAGACCCTGTCTCAAATAGATTAAAAAGAAAAAATAGTTGGTTTTGTACTGTCATGATTGCAAGTACAAGAACATGAGTCTGTGAGTTGGTGCTCTGAACCCTGAAGGCCAGATTCACCTGATCTTACAAACAACATCCTGATGCTTTAAATTTTCATTGCATTGACACCTTAGATAATTGCTGTAGTGCAGTCATCTTGGACTTTTGTTAAACCAGTTTTACATTTTTAGCAATTTTTTCTGTTCATGATTTAAATCCTTAAGCGCTTCTCGTTCCTTTCAGGCTGGCGAGGGGGCGCTGCCTCACGAATTCATGGAAGGTGTGGAGGGAGTTGCAGGTGGCTTTATCTACACTGTTCAGGGTAAGCAGGCTGATGGAAATGCATACTGATCATAGCTAACCTTGCTTTATAATTCGACAGGAGAGGTCACCTTGTTTTTAAAATTGCTTTATTGGGGCTTGAGAGATGGCTCAGCAGTTAAGAACACTGGCATCTCTTCCAGAGAATCTGGGTTCCCAGCACCTACATGGTGGCTAAAAGTAATTCCAATTCCAGGAGGGAGGAATCCATTGCCCTCTTCTGGACTTTACAGGCATTGCATGCACATGGTACCTTTACATACATGCAGGCAAAGCACTCATACACATAAAATAAAAATAAAGATTGCTTTATTGAACTGGGTATAGTGATGCGTACATATGGTGTCAACACTCAGGAGGCTGCAGTAGGAAGATCACAAATTCAGAGCTATCCTGGACTATATGGCCAAGATCCTGTCTCCAAAACAAGACAAAAAAAAAAAAACTTAATTTTTAACTTGCTCTGTTGTTTTATGTGGACCATCATAGTTGGACTGTTTTCCTTTCAGTGGGTCTAATTACATTTAGCTCCATTTTTTTGTTGTTGTTGTTTTTTTTCCCAGCATAACAGTGTTTCAGTGAATATTGTGGTACCCATGCAAAATGTCTCTAGAGCTCCATCTGCAAGTAGTCCTCACTGAGTGTCACACTCCCAGCCTCAAGAGTCTAGTGAATGTGTGTGCTTTATTGATTGCATTCTGAATCCCAAGATTGCAACAGCGTTTCCTCCAGCTGTCAGCTTTTCCTTTTCAGAAGGTGATGCACTGTTGCTCAGCCTTCATTCTCGGCCCCAGAGACTAACGGATCACCTAAAGGCTCTGCACAGGGAAGACGCCTTACTCCAGGAGGAGAGTAGCATCTACAATGACATTATCTTTGTGGATGTTGTGGACACATACCGAAATGTTCCTGCAAAATTACTGAACTTCTATAGATGGTACGTTGTGAAAATGTTGAGCAGCCAGGATTTTTTCTGCTCTTTAGATGTAGGAGCAATTTGTCAACATCAGCCAGAGGTTTCAAAACTCCTAAGACTCCTGAACACTTGGTGCATCCTGGCTCCTTTTGAAGATGTCTGAAGATGCTGGTGTTTTCTTGCTTGGATGAACAAATCCTCTGTGGAAATGGCATTAACTGGTCAAAACCAAACCAAAGAAAAATTAATTCCTTTGGAGTCAGTCCTACATGCCTTGGGTATCTCAGCCAAGCAGTAGATGAAATCAGTGAGTTTAGAAATAGTCCCTTTTCCATTTTATCCTACTTGTCCACCTGTTCCCTAATTACAGCCACACCATGTCATTGATGTGATTTTGATAGGCCATATCCACACCACTGATCTGACTCCACTAGACCATACATCTACGTCACCGATCTGACTTCACTAGGCCACACATCTACGTCACTGATCTGACTCCACTAGACCACACATCCATGTCACTGATCTGACTACATCCAGCCTCTTATTTCCATTCTCTCTCCATCAATTTTTTTTTTTTTTTTGTCTTTTTGACACAGGGTCTCCCTATAGGCCCAGCCGGCTGTCTTGGAACTCATTTTGTAGACCAGGCTGGCCTTGAACTCACAGAGCTGCCCCTGCCTCTGCCTCCCCAGTGCTGGGATTACAGGCGTGTGCCACCACGCCCAGCTGTCTCTCCATCAGTTTTTAAAAGCTTGTACTGGGGGCTCAGCAGTTAAGAGCACTGACTGCTCTAGCAGAGGACCCGGGTTCGATTCCCAGCACTCACATGGCGGCTACAAGCTGTCCTTAACTCCAATTCCAGGGGAATCCGAAGACCTCTTCTGACCTCCAAGGCATTGCATGACATGGGTACACTCACATACATGCAGGCAATACACTTATACACATAAAATAATAAAATATTAAGGGCCAGGCTGGTGGCGCACACCTTTAATCCCAGCACTCGGGAGGCAGAGGCAGGCAGATCTCTGAGTTCAAGGCCAGCCTGGTCTACATAGTGAATTCCAGGACAGCAGGGGCTACAGGAAGACCCTGTCTCAAAAAGACAGAAAAAAAAAAAAAGCTTGTACTGATGCAGCAGCACATGCCTTTTGTCCCAGCTACTCAGGAGGGCAAGGTAAGAGACTTCCTGTAGTCTAGGAGTTCAAGGTCAGCCTGCACTGGCATG